GCTGGATTGCTTCAAGTGTTTGGCAGTCCTCTAATGTATACCATGATCCTGAAAACTTTAAAGGAGGTAAGCATATTTTTGGCTTGTTCACTGCTTTTGTTTCTGAAACTTTAGTGAGCCACGTGAAGCACGTTTGGTAATTCTGAGTTTTGTTTTCATGCAGGTTCCTGACCCTGTTGCGAATAAAGACGCAACACTTTCTGCCAAAGTAAAATCAAAGAATTTAATGTAAGAAAACGTGTGTTCGTGTGTGTGTGTTCGTGTGTGTGTTCGTGTTCTAAATGTGTTTTTCCTCTTCTACTAGACAACCTTTATCAATGACTGATTCAGCTTACCCCTTCCTTGCCTACTCTGGAATTCCTTCAGTATCATTTAGCTTCACTAAGGTAACTGAAATACTCTCCAACATGTCTATTTCATTCTCGCTTGATGCTTCTTTGGTTTTAATAACTCTGTTATAGCACCATCAAAGTGACCCTAATCTCCGGTTTTAAATCTTAAAAATGCATTCAAGTACCCCATTAACAAACATTTTTGCTTATTTGTACATCGCTCAGTTGTAGATCCTCTAATCCTCTTGGAATTTGTGCCTACACAGTCCTTCCTTCTGGAAGGTTGATACTTTTTGTTCTCCGTGTTTGATGTAAAGTAGCCTACGCTCCAAGCTCACTAACTAATCATGAGATTGTAGTCCGTCCCAAGAGAGAGCTTGGCGCACTGACTACTTGTCAACACACAGGGACCATGAGGAACAAAAGTAGCCACCCTCCAGAAGGAAGCATAGTGTCTGCAGCAATTCAGAGATTTGAGGATCTACAGATGGGTGCTACACAAATATACTTTTTTTTTTTATCGGGTACTTTAATGCATTTTTAAGATTTAACTCTTGAGTTTAGTGTCGCAATTAAAAGGCTTCTCAACTTGAGCATAACCTATCCTGTACTTCACACAATATGCACACCTTTATAGTAGCACAAGGTGTCTGCATAGCATTTCTGGATGTGGAGTGGGTGGTAAATGCTGAAGTAGTTTAAAACGAGTTCCAGCTTCTACAGAAGCCTATTTATGCCCTGTCACCTCAAGAGACCTATGTTGCGTTTTGCATTTGCCTGGCACGGTTTATGGTCCTCCAGAAGCTTGCTACCTGAGAATGTGGGTCATTTCATTGCATCACTGAGGTTATATCATAGAGCAAAAAAAAATGTGTTGGCCGTGTGTGGGTTTTTTTTTTTTTCCAGTAACGTGCATTGGAGGCCCATTTTTATTAGGCTGTCTCCTGGCAGTGCAGGCTTAATCCTTCCCTGCCAATGACCTAAGGCTTTTGTCTGTGGAAGTTTTGGCTCTTAAGCACACTCCTAGCTGGCTTTTTGTACAGCTGTGCAATCCTTTCCATGTGCTCTCCACCAAAAGAAGGGTAAACAGACTGCAGGTCCACTGTGCTGTTTTTCGAAATGGAATGGCTCTGTACCAAGGTTCGAGAGTTACTGTGCTTTGCAGTAAAACATGTCAGTGTGAGGCAAATGGGTTCCAAATCTTAAGCTGGATTCACATAGAATGATGGCTGGGTAAAGTAAACTGGAAGAGATCAGGTGCAAGACTGCAAAAAACAATCATACATGTACATCTAGTGTGTAAATTATCCAATAGCCTCCTTTGCTTCAGTTTTAGTAATTTTCCCCCCTAAACATTTTTTTTATGCAGACAGGATTTGAAGCATCTGTGCACAGAAGCCAATCAGCGTCAGCTTGTTCAGTTAAGCTTTACAAATGAAAGCTAGAAGTTGATTTGGTTCACGTGCATGACTACTGTAGATTTGTGTCTGCTCCAGCCTTGGCACAATTCCCCCTCAATGTTTATAATATTTTGTGTGTGTGTACACTACATATAGTATGTAATTGCCTTTTTTTTTTTTTTTAAATATGCACAAAATTTGTGTTTGGTGGTTTGTGAAATTTTGTCATCCAGTGATCGACACAAATCTTTCTCCTTTTGAGTCATATTGTTGCCAACAGAAGGTTTGGTCATTGGCTAACAAAACTGTTGGCCTCACCAGAATAGTTTCTTTCTTACTACTGGCATGCCTCAGTTTTTGCTGGTGAGGATGAATGTCTTTTCAGCTCTGCTTCTCAAACACCCATCCCCCCAGACGTTGCTGCTGGAGCTCTTCAAATGCAAGCAACTTCCTGGCGCAGTTTTACTCTGCCTGGTCTTTGGAGGACATTGTTTGGGTCCTGACTTAACATTTATGCTAGAAACGACTATATGGAGTATCTGGGTCCAGTCCTGGGCACAGCTCAAGTCAGGGTTTTCTCCCACAGGAGGAACTTCAGATGCTCAAATCTCGATGTGAACCTTTCTAGTCTTGGTCTTGGGCCTGATGGTGGACCATAATCTAAGAATATGCTCTCCAGATTTAACCATTTCCAGTCAAGACACACACTACTAGATTTGCAAGGTTGCTACCTATTCGTCAAGGTCTACCAGCATCATCTGTTGCCAGCTTCAGGTGTAAGGTCCTTCAGGGGGCCCTTTAAACTGCAGGAAGTCTCAAGTTTGGTTGTTTTGGGTCTGATGGCATTTGTTTGTGCTACTCACTTCTGAATAGAACTGTTTTTGGATGTCCTGAAGGTGAAATACTTCATGTGTCACTCAGTGGATGAGACAGAAAATAGGATTTTTGTGCTCTTGGGAGTCCTTTGGGGGATACAGGTCCCACCCATCACTTTGAACATGCATGCAGTGTCCAATTCTCTTGTAGGCAATTGTATAATTTGAAGGTGAAATTTTCTGGTGAGTACAAAAATCTCTGCTGGGTGCAAAAGTTTCTTACTATAATTTTTTTTTTTCTTTTAGAACAACAAGCCTTATGCTCATCTTGGAACCACAAAAGATACTTTTGAGAATTTTCAAAAGCTGGTTGATGTGGACAGCATGTGCAGAGCTGTTGCAAATCTTGCTACCCAAATAATCCTGCGCCTGACGCATGACCACAAGCTGCCATTGGACTATGTTAAATACAAAGAGGAGTTGCGTAAGATTTCTATCGAACTAAGTGCTAAAAGAGCTGAAATAAATGTAAGATATTGTCTGGGTGTTTTTTGTAATTTGCCCTTTTTGTTTCTGCTTTTTCAATGCTTGTATTCAAGTTTAGTAAGGTCTCTTTATTAATACGATTATGTTCAAGAGGTGAAGGTCCTACAGCCACACCCATAAAGCACTATGTAGACAGAAAAGACAGTTCTGACGCAAAGTTTAGGCTGAGCACCCATATGCATATGTTTTTATGTTTGGTACAGTATTTTTAATGTCTTTAATAAAATATATTTTTACACAACTTCTAAGTGTCTGTGAGGTCCTATAATTGCCTAAAGCCCTCCATGACTTCCAGCCCTTAGCCTTTTGGCTTCAGAACTGTCTTTTTATTTATTTTTGTCTACATTTTATAGTACGGTTTCATTAATTGATTGTCGCCTGTCTGAGGGTCTAGCAACGAATGGCTCTCAAGTCTGTGTAACTGTATTTCCGTTGGTTGCTGTGTGATCAGTGACTCTAATTTTCAGTCTTAGACCATGAAGCACAGTCTACTAAAACTACCCTTTTTCTGTTGTATTAACTGGACCTCTCTTGCCTTTCTGGCTGACAATGTTATAAACTTCTAACTGTCTGTTACAATAAGTGATGTTTGTCTGTTTTGCTGCCAGACTCCACTGTACTGGAGAGAAGCTTGCTGTAAGAGCTTTAGCATCTAGCGCTGAGTGTTTTGGATGCCCGGTTCACTGCTGTGCATTGTGGTTACTTCTGATGCATCTACGTCAGTATTGTATCCTGTAGTGATGTAGGGGCTGGCCGATAGAGCCACAGAGGCCAGTGGAGAGTTCTGGCATAAGACACTCCTTGAAGTGTCAGATGCACAAGCTTCTTTCTTCAATCTGGCAGAGTTCAACAACGGGATAGGGGGTTCTTTGCATAGATTCCTTGTTGTCTTTGTGGACTTTGTGTTCACAGACCTGTAAAAATGGCACCACCATGTTTGTTCCTGGCTTGATCCACTCCTAATTTTGCACTAGCAGTGTTTGCAAACTTTTCCTGTTTGTCATAATGTAGGGACAGAATGGAAAGAAATCCTAGCTTGTATATGAAAAGGTCAGTTTAAGATTAAGCACTACCATCCACTAGGTTATGTAGATATTTGTTTTGTGGTTTTCCTCCCCTGCATATTCAGGTGGGTAGAAAGTTCTGTGTATTGCATACACTTATTTTGATTTTATTTTTTTTGTAATATTATTATTCTTTTTTTTTTAGAGTTTGAATCTCACCTTGGATTGGCTAAATTCTGCTTCAGGTGACTTCAGCAGGGCAACTGCCACACTAAAGAATAGCTTTGATGCATCAGATCCTGAAAACAAGCCCTTCCTTCGCTTGCTTAATGACCGTGTTATGAAGGTAGGTGTTTGGGTTTTATCTCTTGTTTTCTGCAAACTCTGATTTGTATGTACAGATTTCACATCTCAGCGTACCTAAATGGGGAAGTATACAATGGCAGGGAATGCTTGTGAACTGTGCCCTATTTTTATCATTTGTATTTCATAAACTTGCAGGTTCTCCTTAGTGGCTGCCTGTTATCTCAGGATTAATTTTTCCTTTAGCAATTGTGGCAAGAAAATACCAGTGTGCCTATAGAATGAGCAAGTATTACCCAAGTATGAGGGGAGGGGAGGCCAATAAGTTCTTACCCTCACCATGATCTAGATGTGCTAGGGATCTGGGATTTTTCAGGTTTATAGGTGGATATCTTGGTAATATGCATGCCAGTTTTTTTGTTTTTGTAGCTCATGGTGAATTATAGCTAGAGGCAAGTGAATTGGCGTAGGTGTCATGCCGTACAAAGTTGAATACCGAGCTCAACTTTCGCCACCACACTTGGTTCTGTGGCAGTTGATGGATGAGCTCCCCTTGGGTCATCCTGTATATTTGTGTGACCACACTTGAATTCACTCTTCCATCGTTTGACTGTCTCATATGATAGACAATCCTCTCCATACACAGCTGACATCTCTTCGTGGATTATTTGGGCAGATTTCCCTTTAAAGATAGGGGAACCTAATCACGGCTCAGTATTCAACTTTGTCCGGCATGCATATTACTAAGAGATCCACCTATAAACCTGCAGAATGTCAGATCCCTAGCACATCTAGATCATGGTGAGGGTAACAACTTATTGGCCTCCCCTCGTAGTTATAAGCTATTAACACAATACAATCTTTGTTTAAAAAAAAAATTGTTGTGCTAATGGCTTTTGGTTGTTTCTAAACAGAAATTCAGTTTTTCCCATTTCACACATAAATGGAAGTTATTACAGTAGCGTGCCACTCACCCGCACTGCAGCATGCCGTAATGCACATTCTGCGGTAAAGGGTCACATCCAGATTTCATGCATTAAGGTGCTCTTCATTCATAATGAATGTGCTGTCTCGATAGAACACGCCTTAACACGTTGCTTTAGTGCAATGCATAAAGGTGTTCGAGGCCTTGAAGGATGTCAAACGTAAAAAAAAGTGCTGGCTACGATTTATTGCAATGTTTAGAATATTTTCTGCCTTTGGCTCAGTACTTCTAAAACTATCCAAAAACAAGCACACAGCAGATCAGCCATAATTTCTGGCTGTTTTTTCTTTCCTCTACTCTCATACATTGGTGTCACAGCCGGGCACTTAGCATTTTTGGAAGATGTTGGTAATGGAAGCTTCTTGTGATGGGTTTCCTTTCTTAATGACTAGAGAATTAGTGCGTGTACTGTAACTTCAAATACACTTACATGTAAATATTTTTCTTCTACTTTCAGGTTGAGCACTCATTGCTTTCCCCCTATGTCTCCCCAAAAGACAGTCCATTTCGGCATATACTGTACGGCTATGGTAATCACACAGTTCAAGCGCTAAAGGATCACCTAAGTCTGATTGATGAAACCCGGTTTGACAAAGATGTCTTTAAAAACCAGTTGGCTCTTTTGACTTGGACTGTCCAGGGGGCTGCAAATGCACTTGCTGGAGAAATTTGGGAGATATATAATGAGTTCTAAGGTGGATTATGCAAGTGATCTGTGGGCATAACATATGAGACTTTTTTTTTTTTTTTTGCATTGTGCACACTTCCCAGGTGTATGCCTGTTGCTTTTAGTTTCCTGTAGAGCACCCATGAACCCTAATACAGAGGTGCCATGTTATACAAATTGTAACCAGCTCCAGTGGTTATGGACTCTGGCCAGCCCCATCCCAGCATCTGTGTTGGCTAGTGAGATTTGTCAATAGTAATGTTTGATGGGGGTGAGCCAAAGAGCCCTAATGGAAGATGATCACTTGGATGCATAGTATAGTACCCCAAGTTTGGGCCTCCCAGATACTTTAAATCAGTGGTTCTCAACCTGTGTAACCTCGGGGCCCACATTTGTCCTTGGTTATTAAGTCGTGGCCCAAGTCACGCTGCATTGGAACGCACGGCATTGCGGTACCGAGCGCTCCGGTGCAGGTGATCTAACTGGTCGGGAGGTGTGTTTGGGGTGCCATTCAGAACGCAAGGTAGGTGCGATTGCGTGGTGCAGTGCATTAATCACACTGGATTGGGTGATTAACACACTGTACGAGTGTGAGCGGGCCCTCAAACACTGACACACACCCACACACCACACACACACTTAGACATTCTCGTACACACTCAAAATAAACTTTTTATTTTTCAGTCCAGTGTGGGCTGCTGTGACAGAGCTCTATCCCTATGTGCATTGATTGTACAACTCCCTGTACAGTGCCGGGAGGCAGAATGTGACATCACTCCGGTCTAGGCACCTCTACAGGGCATGCAAGGGAGCTGTACAATCAATGCACTTATGGATGGAGCTCCCTCGCAGCCATACCTCCAGCCCACTGCACCTCAAGCTGACACTTAGTGCCAGGCAACATATCTTGAATGGCTGCTTGGCTCAAGAATTGACAGTGCTGTGCTAGGAGGGAGGCTGAAGAGCCTCTCGCCTAGCGCAGTGGAAGGCACACAGCGACCCACTTTTGTGCCATGTGTTCCAGTGCGGGTGATTGCACTGCAGGCGGGAGGCGTGTTGGTGGCTCCTCCTGCCTAGGAATGCAGGGAAGCTTTGTTTATGCAATCCAGTGAGTTCATGGCACGGAACCATGCCCCCCGAACGCATTGGATAGCCCCCCGAACGCCCATTCGTTGAGAAATGGCTCTAAGGGAAAACAGAAAAGATGTGCAGTCATCTGGGGGAAGTGCTTGTGCAATGCAAAGTGGTAGCTTCATATGTGTTATGCCTATAGGATTGTTTTTTAATTAAGCACTTAACTGTTCTTTCTTCCCACAAAGGGGTGTGCCCAGCCCTTAATTTACCTCTTTGCAGGCCCCTTAGCCAATTGACACTTTTCTGTCTTATTTAAAAAAAAAAAAAAACAGTGCTGACTTTAGTGGAGGCAAAAAAAAAACTAATGGTCAATATCAAATGTGGCTGACTTCACAGTCTTATGAAATGTGCTGTTTTGCTGCTAGTACAGTTCTATTTCCTCAGAAAGCAGACCTTCCAGTGTGGAATATTTTGTAGCTAGGTCATGGCCAAAACCATAATTTAGGTGTCTACTAGATCTGTCAATCGCCCTGCGACCTTGCAGAAAATAGTGGCAAAAGCCTTATGCCATACACTTTCAGCTGACCATACATTTCCTGATTATTGTATTGAGGGCAGAAGTCATCTATAATATTGGAACAGTTGAGAGGCTAGCCCCCCCCCCCCTACTGAATCTCATATGAAGCTCTTGTAAAATAGACGGTCTAGTTTCCGGTGTGCTCATAGTCTATAGTCTTCTAGACTGCAAGGGTGGTATTGGTAACACTCGGACAAATATTCCATATAGTTTAATTTAGAAATGGAATGTCTAATCAAGCCTGAGGTAGTAGTCTGACAAAGTGAGTAAACAGATCTGTTCTATCAGCCTTAATGAAAGCACAATATACCAGCCTGAAGCTGATGTATGTAAACTGAAATAAGAATGTCTTGTCCATCTCACCAGTCAGTTGTGGCCTTTACTAAGAAATAAGACTTAAATGTCAATTGCTTTGGGAAACGACGTCACTTCTGACTTCTTGCTGCATCATTTATATATGGGCCTCTTATTCTTTGTTATGAAAAAGCCATTTGTCAAGCTTTTTCTTGACTAAATTGGTCATCTTGGCAATACGTTTGCAGCTCTGCCTTTTCTGCCAAAATTTACATTTTTAGTTTTCCACTCAGGAATAATGCGGTGAGACCTTTTTTTTTTTTTTTTTCTTTCCTAACAGAAACCATCCATTTGTATGTGTTGTGAACAATTTTTACTAGCTGCTAGTGAGGGGAAAACCCTGATGCTGTAGAACCGGTGTTTTACAGTCTTCACTTCACAACCGTTTATTCTATCCACCTGCTGTATCAGGATAGAAATGGGTTTGATTATGAATATTGCCCAATCCTGCAGTGCAGGATCACTTATTTAATGTTGATTGGGTAAAATCTAGCAGGATTCCTTTCGCACTGATTAATGGCACACTTATTTATTTATGAGTGACAGAGATCACTATAAATAGTATTAATTTTGTTATTCTGGTAATTATCGGAAGCAGTGCCTTCCATAATTGACGGTTATACTGTCGGATTTTTTTTTACTTATAGCAGCATCTGCTTTAACTTGAACGTGCTACTGGAACTTCTGCTGTCCACACAATGGGTGCAACCAACTTCAATAGTCTGACTAGTGCTACAGAGAACCGATTGCATGATTAATTTTGATAAACTAATGTGATTAAAGTGCATACACGCTTGTCTGCCTTTCAAAACGGCTGGGTAATATCTTACAGTTGCTGAATGGTGATGGTATACCGAAGTACTACTGATTTATACATTGATTTGCAAGGGACAGCCTGATGTGTCTGCACAACTGTACCTTGTAAAGTGCTGGTACCTAGTTTGTTGGATTCTAAGCTATATAATGTGGTAGGCTTTGTATGCCTTAAAGCAGAATTTCCAGTAAATTTTATACTGTATCATTAAATCGTGGACATTATCGGGAGCAGTGTCTTCCATAATGGATTGTAAAAAAATTGGTAGTTTTTGCCTACCACTGTGTTATATCGAGGGCAGTGTTCCCTCATATGTTACACTACAGGTGTATTTAATTATCGGGAACAAGGTTTCCCATAATTGACTTTTACAGTAAATTCTTTTCTTAGTCTCTTTTCTGTTTGTCAGCCCTGAACTGCTCTTATTGGGAACTTTTGTCAATACTGCAATGGGAGTTTAGAGGTTCTCCATTAAAAAGACAGTTCGGTCCATAAATGTTGACTCTTACAACACTCAGCCTTTTGGAGTTGTGTGAAGCAGCTAGTTAGGGTTGAGAGCGGCCAGGGTACAAACTACAGTTACTTCCTACAACATCTGGTTTTGCGCTTTTGCTTATTTTTATTTTTTTGAACAAAGAATTAACACTTTCTCCAGATTGACTATAGTCTGGGTTTTGTTGTCGGTACGCCTTGTTCAATTTGCATGCTCGTGTCCACCACCAAAGAACTGTTTTCAAGACACCTTGGGGATATAATGCTCATGTTTAGAAGTCATTTGAATCTTGAAAACCAGTTTGCCTCCTTTAAGACAGTAAAGATTATGGATCTCTCATACCTAGTCAGTTTGAGACTATTGTAGGAGATGCTTGCCGTTTGGGGACCTTTTTAGATGTAATGCTGATTAGAACTCCCCTGGGTGCAACTTCCAAGAAGCCATCGGAAGCTAGTGTTGTCTGTAAAGCAGCATGAACTAAGTTTTTGTAGCTCTAGTGATGGTTACAGATCACATAAGCACTTAAACTTTATAGGATATTTCTTCTACGTACAAGCACTTACTGTTGGCTATTTACAACCCTTGAATTGCACTGTATTTTAAAAACTCGAATTCCCTTAAGTATATATCTATGAAAACTAGTGCGTTTGCCTAACATGCTTCCTGACATCTGCTTTTTTGTTTGTTGTGAATTCTGCTTCTAGCTTTTCACATCAGAGGGCTTCCAAGTTTATAGATCATAATTTGACTATTTGGTTAACTAATCGAAGTACATCGGAGGCAATCGTTTGCTGATGGAGAAATTTGCAATATCTAAAGCGGGTTCATGTCTTATAGCTGTGTTTTAAATGTAGTTGAAGGGAACTTGTCAGGATAGAAATAGACACTGCCACTGCAGATTGTACTTCCTTTTCCAGTTATACTCCAAGTTCCTCATTACCTGGCGGTATACTCTACCTGAACATGTTTATAAAATCTATATTTGTCAATAGAAACTGAAGTACCCAGTATGTAATTGTCCTAGATAGAAGTATGTAGCTCAAAAATGCTTTGGATACATATTTTGGGGTCAGTGGCTCCCTAAAGTATATATTGAACCTATTGGCAGTTTTACACATTTAGAAGTAAAGGGTCCTGTCTATTACCAGACATTGCAAGATGCCCGTCTCTTGTTGGCCATAATGTGCAGCTCTCCAGTAAGTTTCCCTCTTGTTACATTTGATATTGCAGACCAAAAATCTCTCGCTGTCATTTTCTAGAGAGTTCCCTTTTTGTTACATTTGAATTCAGTTTAAAGGATGACCGCAAACTTCAAAACCAAGCAGTGGCAGCACTTTGATTCTATTCTTGTATTGACCGTTTCCTTTTGAAACTGCTGTTTGTTAGTGTTACAAGCTAGATGTGACTACTATAGCATAACCATAAGACTTACTTGCAATGCTTGGTTTGTTTGTGTGTGTTTTGTTTTTGTTTTTTTCCACCTTGGCCTCCATTGTAAGGGCCCATGTCGATGCGCTTTTGCCTGCTTCAAGCAGGCTGAGAAAGCAAAATCTTTTTGAAGCACATCAGGAGGTAGTCAACCTGTAGGTCCTATGCACCAGTCAATTAATTCTTCATCTCCGGAGAATGTGAAACTGATGCTGTCGACAGAGGACCTAAGGAGGTTAAAGTAGAGTGGGGGACTCTGGAATTCTGCCATTTCTGTAAACCTTGTTTACTGACGCAGGTTTTCCCTTTTTATTTTTTTCCAGTAAGAGGATGAAGTTTTGGGGCATTTCAAACTTTTGGTAGGGTGAACCTATAGATAAAGCAGTGATATAGGCCATGTGATAACA